ATTGTGATCTTATGTTAGAGACATGAATCAAATCAACATAAGCGTAGGCCGGTGATGCAATGCAAAAGTCACGATTAGTCTAGTTTATATTAATCCTAAACATTAACTTTTAACCTAATTAATTGTCTTTTAGATCTCTTTTTTTTTAACAAGATTATGCTTATATATTGGATTTTTTCTTAACCATTTTTTGTGTCTAGAACAGACTAAAAGAGATGGGGAAGGCCTTATTGAATTCTCTATGATAATAATTAATGATAAAGAAAAAACAAGTATCATATTTTCTTAAGGATTCAAATTAAATAATAAATATCCAATCCAGAGATTATTAAATATTTCTAATGGTGATCTTAAAGAAAATCTTACGTGCATTTAATAATGATCCTTAGGTAAGAAACTCCAAAAGTGTTTGATGAGGTCATTTCCAACAATTTTTCCTATGATTAAAGTAAATAACTCAACTCCAAAACCGTCGGTTTCTAGAGACCAGTGGCGGAGGCACAGTATTAGGAGGGGGGTCAGTTGACCCCCATAAATTTTTGAATTTTTGTTTACAAGCTTATGGTCCATTTGATTATTGTGGTAAATTGGTTGCTTTCTCATAAATTGACCCTCATGAATAGCGGCCAAATCTCTTCTTTGCACCCATTAAAACCATATTATTTTTTATTCAATCATTTTTTTTCCAATTATGTTTTAAGAAAACATTAGTGAAACTATGACAAAATATGTGGAAATGAAATTATATCTATATACCTTATATTATGAATAGAAAACAATAATGATTATCTCTTATTTTACTTATTTTAATGAAAATGAATTATATTTTTTAAAAATATAAAATTTTCTTGAAACTAAATATTATATTTTAATATTTAATTAATAATTAAAAATAATATGTGACCCCTATAACATTTATTTCTAGCTCCGCCACTGCTAGAGACTAGTTATGTGGAGAACCCGACGAGTTTGGTATTGCAAAAGATCTCCAGTCAATGTCTACTATGTGAAAAATCTGATGTGATAAAAGCTCATATATCCCTTCATTCTCTGTTTGTCCATATGATTTCCCTTAATGGTCCGACTTCACACCCAACCTACTTGGATCGGGTCTATCTCCGAATTGGAACGACATTTTCGATCACCTTTATTCTTTCTACTTTCACCATTTTGACGCTATCCAATTATGTCTTATGTTCCAAGAGACCATCTACAAAGTTTGGCGAGAAAGAAACTGACATCAACATCAACAAGGTCTTACTCCATCTAGTTTCTACTCTCTCTGTATCATTATAAACGATGTTTAAAGTTTCTACACACAATTCTTTAAACGACGTTATCCGTATCTAAGATGGATTTACTAATATACATTTTTGATGATAATGCGTTTAACACGACCTACTTGTGATATTCGTAATGATAATCATTATCTTGAAGGTTGTGTAAAGAATGAAAACAGTAACAAATTAATTAATGTTATTATATCATTAATCATGTCTCTTTTTGAATTTGGTCTACAGCCCAACAGAGATATACATGCATAACAGAAGAAGTGGTGAAAAAAGGTTCTGAAAACGAAATGTGTGGAACATATTCAGCAATTGGTATCTAAGTTAGGTCTATATTTACTATATATATTATTTCTTCCACTTAGAGAGAAACCATCTTTACGTCGGCCAAAAGAGTTATAGACTCATGAACCACTAGCTTAATGTGAATGCAACGGGCTACATCTAGATATGTGTCTATGTTTGTTTTACGTGCATTACATGTTTCGTTTTAGATAGTCAATTTTCTTTTGTTTCATAGCGAGTTCGTTTTTATAAAAAAAGAAAAAAACTATAAAACAATTTGATTGGTAAAAAGGATCACCAGATTCACCACATTCTATAAGCTTTATATATATAACGAGTTTCCAAAACAACTAGTGACCACAAAAAATGTACATGGATGACAAAACAATCATATATTTATAATTAGTTTTTGAAACAACCATACTTTTACAGACTTAGGGATATTACAAATCCAATGCATGAATCAAATGTATAATTAACCGGAATATGGGTTCTTCAATGGTACCAGATTCCTAATCCAATGCATGAATCAAAATTTATTCTTATAGCTGAAGTGTCTTGAAGTAATATTATATTTTTATCAAGTATTTTATTTGATTGTAAAAGAAAATATATTCTTTTCATGATTCTTTATTCATGTATATCTTTGTGATATGTAGATAAGTAAAAGCTAAACCATGTCTCGAATAAGAAACGACAAATGTGCATCTTCAAATTTTCTTTTCTTTTTTTCTTAAATAGAAAAATACTAAATATATTAAATGTGGCAGTCTTAGTCTTGTTTGGGCAATGGTTTCTGTTCTAGTCAGACACTTGGACTGTTCCATTTTGAGACCGATTGCTCCAAAATCTTTAAGATAACAAAGCATAGAGGACTGACCTGCTTATCCATGCCATTAGATGACGTTCTTTTTTATAAGTTAGAAATAGATTTCATAAGTTTGGTGTAATATCTCACATACTATATTATGGTTCAATAAACTTTTCATATGAAGTAGCAAGAGATCAATGAAATATCAAGTTGAGTTAATAATCACGTGGATATGCTCTGTTGTTTTAATTGTATTCATCAATGAAAAAGATCAACCCTATGAAATCTAAATTTGGTTAGATTAGTAACACTAGTACGCTACAATCATAACTAGTAATTACAATATGCATAAGCTTAGTCCAAACTTCAAGCTTTAATATTATGTTTTCGTAAAAGTCTCTTGTCTCTATTACGTTGCATCTAACTAAACCTTGTTTTGGTGTTGCTAAAGAGAGAAAAATTAGCAAATGTAGTCAAGGTCAACCTACAAGAAAAGGCTATGGATATGTTCCAGCCAACCACATATATGGTTTATGCAAATCATTGTTATCTTTTGGTGGGTATTAAACACGCTTATTAGCTGATCAATAAAATAATATAGATAAGAAAAAGAGTAATGAAGTGATAATAAAAGTGAAAACTTATATTGGCTTTAAACCAGGCATGAAAGTTACAGTTCAGCTCTAAGGATCGGTCAAAGTTTTGCAGTTCAAGATGTTTGGGTTTTGCACTACAAATAAAATAAGAGAGCATCACTAATTATGTCTTATCTTACCTAATCACGACCATTGTTATTCATTTGTTTTACTTTCAAAATTTGTATTCAAACTTAAATAGAAATTATAACATAAAACGGATGAAGCAGATAGATTCGCCTATTGGTAAGAGAATTAATTAGGATAAGATCGTAAAACTGAATGTCTTATTTCTTTTATTTTCTTGTCATCAAATACACGTACTCCAAAATTTGAACGTTTGGTCACAAGTGAAAGATCTTATACGTTGAGTAGTGTAACACTCCGGTTTTAGGAATATGGTGGTGCATGCGGAGAGGTTTGAAAAAGTTGATTTGGCCACCTACACCAAAGTGCACTTATCTTTTCGGTCAACTGTCATTAGAGAACTCCACAGTTACGCATTTTTGGGCTGGAGCAATTTCAGAATGGGTGACCTTTCGGGAAGGGATTGCCGGAACTGTGTGAGTGAGAACAAAACACAGGGAAAGATCATGTGGTGATTTTTAGGGTCGGTAAACAAGTCTTTAAAGATCTCTCGAGCGTAGCGGACCAGCCGTCGGAAGATAGTGGACCCATGGACCGAGAAAGAATGTAAGGCCCATTAAAAAAAAATGGCGGTCGGAACGTTACAAGTAGTAACTATGTTTATGATATTATCAAACTTTTGATGACAATATTTAAGAAAAACATGAAAAGTTTTTAGTAGAAACAAAAACTCGTACTATAAAACTTGAACTTTGGGACTTTGATTAAGATTAACTCGTGTCAAAGGATATGTTTATCCCCGAAAAATAGTCGATATTGTCTCTTATCGACTATTTAGTGAAAACCCCGCGTTTTGATACTCGCCTAGTTAGTGATAATAGTGCTACAATCTAACAAATATCCGGTGACAATATGAATAATGTAGGCCACCTGTCTTGTGGTGACGTTAAAAGGCCGTAAGCTGTTTCAAATAATTGCATAATTTATTTCTATAAGTCCTGACGTGGAACCCAACGAACATAAACTAAAACAAAAGACTTCAGTGTGAGATCGCATGTCTATATTTCCTTAACACTTGGACATATATTAGTGGTGTAGTTATGTTTTACTCCACCACCATCAATTGTTGTTAATTTTTTATTATGTTCTTTAACCATTATAATCAAGGGGGCTGCATAGAAATATAGGCCACTATAAAGTATAAACCCATAGATAGTGTACGTGTCACATTTCTAAGTTCGACTTTTTGTGAATCTCACTTTCGCATAAAAAGAGTATTGGATTTGATGCTTTAGAAATTGTTACCCAATGCCTTAACATTCATTCTTTAACCCCTATAATACCCTTTTTAGAAACCAATGAGACCCTTTTTCATTTAAAACTTATATTCATATGACACAACACATTTTCTTATTTCTAAGAGTATGATAGAAAATATTATCTACTTATTTGTTATAAATTCTACAAGATAATCAAACATATAAAATTCTGTATTGGAATATAGTAGACATAATTCACAATTTTTATTGGCTTTATGTTTTTATTTTTGTCTTCTGTCGTATATATGTGTTCACGGACATATATATATTGGTATGATCTCGTAGTCTCTTTTACCTACATAGATTGTATGCCCTTAAATATGTTACAGGTTTTTCATCCTTGAGTGGGTTTCTTTTGATACGATATGCTTAAAAAACATACACAATATCTATCTATATATATCAAATAAGAATAATATTTTCATAAAAATATAATATCATTTTCTTTAATTTGATCTTCCTCACCATCACTCTTAACATAAAAACAAAAAAAGATAGTGAGGGAGAAAAGTGGTGGACCCAAGAAAGCTTAGTCAGTGCATATATAAGAACATAAGACATCAAAGCAGAGCAGTAGAGAGCTTCCATAACAAGACAAAGCCAAAGAGAAAAACAGATTGCTAGATCTTATAGAGAAAAAAATCAATTGTCCTCAAATCAAAATCCGAAGAAGAATGAGTTGGTGGGGAGTGAAGGGAGGAGGATGGGGAATGGTGGAAGAAGTTTGGAGAAAAGGTCCATGGACCGCCGAAGAAGATCGTCTCTTGATCGAATACGTCCGTGTTCACGGTGAAGGTCGTTGGAACTCTGTCTCTAAACTCGCAGGTACCACCACTTTTTGTGTTTGCATGCTTTAATATGTTTTTTTTTCAAAGGATTGATTGATTGATTCATGAATGTTTTGATCATTAGGACTTAAAAGGAATGGCAAAAGCTGCAGACTAAGATGGGTAAATTACCTTAGACCAGACCTCAAGAGAGGACAGATCACTCCTCATGAAGAAAATATAATACTTGAGCTACACGCTAAGTGGGGAAATAGGTAAAAATATCTCAAATCTTTTTGTTTTTTTTAGGTTTGTCGATGGCTTTTATCTTAAGTATTAGGGTTTTGTATAGGTGGTCAACAATTGCACGTAGTTTACCAGGAAGAACAGACAATGAGATCAAGAACTATTGGAGAACCCATTTCAAGAAAAAGGCAAAGCCTACGACTAACAATGCGGAGAAGATAAAGAGTCGTCTCCTAAAAAGGCAACAATTCAAGGAACAGAGAGAAATAGAGTTGCAACAAGAACAACAGTTGTTTCAGTTCAACCAACTCGATATGAAAAAGATCATCTCTTTACTCGAAGATAACAATAGCAGTAGCAGCAGCGATGGCGGTGGTGATGTGTTCTATTCTCCTCATCAAATAACACATTCATCAAAACCCTTTGGATATAACCCTAATTCGTTGGAAGAGCAGTTACAAGGGAGATTTGCTCCGGTAAACATACCTGACGCTAATACTATGAGCGAAGACAATGCGATATGGGACGGGTTTTGGAACATGGATGTTGTAGATGGACATGGTGGGAACTTGGGTGTTGTTGCTGCTACTGCTGCTTGTGGCCCAAGGAAGCCCTATTTCCATAACTTGGTGATTCCATTTTGTTAAGTATTTTTGGAGTTTGGTTTTCTGTCTTTTCAGCATTTGGTTTGGTAACTAGTTTCTAATGCTATGAGCCTATATAAGTAGTTTGTGATGAAGTGTGTGTGTGATGTAAGAGGAATACTTTAAGTTAAGGATTTATAAAAAAAACAAAAAATCAAACGTAACTACGTAAGTGAATGAGCAAGGAACCACGATTCATGGATTTTTAGGAAGAAATGTTTTAATAGATCATCATCCTTTTTTTTTTTTTTTTTTTTGCGGTGTCTCTTCTTCTTTGAAAGTCATGTTGATGTTTTGAAAATTTCTTCTCAGTTTCATTTATGGTCCCAATCTAGTGTTAGATTTGATCTTAACCAAAACTTTTGAACAAGGAACAGAATAACACTTTGTTTGGCAATTAAGATTGCTTATTTTTGTCTTCTCCATTTCATTAAATAGACAAAATTAAGAAGAAGCAAAGGGGCGTCATAACTCATACAACCAAGGGAAATATGAAGAAAATACTAGGATTTAAACTAAAGAAAAGCAAAACATAAGTCGTTTACTTCATGTATTTCCGGTGAAATTTGGTCGGTTCGATGTTCTCCGGTTTCGGTTTGATAAGTGGTTCGCTTGGTTCTGCAAGTCTATCAACTCATGCCCTCGAAATGAACCTTGTCCTCAAGGTTTAAGGCTGGAAAGCTCTGTTTTAGCTGTTACATATCTTCCCAAGAGGCAACTTCGATTGGAAGACCATGCCATTGTACTAACCCTGTTTGTGGGTTTTTGACCTTCCCCATTTACTGTCCCGAACTTGTAGCCCACACGTTTCTTGAGGAGAGAGACATGAAAATCTGATAAATTGATTAGAGTAAAAACACAAAGGTATAATGCAAGAATTGAATTAGACTCTCACAAAAATGATGTTACAAGATACAACGATTTATATACAAATAAGGCTAAACTTAATTTTCGAAATTAAGATAAACTAAATTGTAAATGATATACTTAGAGGCAATGCTAAATTTCATTAACTTAAATATTGGTAAATATCAATATTCAATAATCTTTTAGTTTGTTCTTGATTTTCATGATTTCCATAATAACAATATGGTCTATATATCTCATCGATCTTCCATTAACAACAAAGTGGACTCATGTAATTGAGCAAGTACTAAGCGATATGCCACCGAACCCACTCGAGCTTCGGTCTGAAAGGGACAAAAAATCTTCAGAATAGCTTCATGGACGTACATGAAAGATTGTATGCTAACCATAAGGTTGCAGCTTGAGAAATACCTAATTGCCAACATCAAAAGAGATGTCTCCGCATTTAGTGTCTGCTGTTTGTTTCACCCGTTAGTTGGCTGCCTGAAAATGTTTCTTTAAGTCAGCCATAATCTCGACCGGCACAGCTAGCTGCTAATGAAGTTCTTGAACATGTGTTGTACCAGCTACCATATAGAGTGCTAGAAATGGAGTCATGCCTTTTGAAGAATGATAAGTGCACTTATCAATGGAGCTTGCATTTAGTGTCTGCTGTTTGTTTCACCCGTTAGTTGGCTGCCTGAAAATGTTTCTTTAAGTCAGCCATAATCTCGACCGGCACAGCTAGCTGCTAATGAAGTTCTTGAACATGTGTTGTACCAGCTACCATATAGAGTGCTAGAAATGGAGTCATGCCTTTTGAAGAATGATAAGTGCACTTATCAATGGAGCTTGATTTGACAAAATTTTTAAGGGTTTCTTGCTTTCTCTGTTGCGAACTTTTTTAACATACATACTATAACTTATCATAGCTAAAGGAAGATTACACGACTATTTCACGATTACAAAGCTTTTGTTATATGGTCACTACTCTGATTTCTGCTAATTTTTCCTTTGATTCCACCATTGATATAAGAGAAAATCAAAAGGACTAGGGAAAATCGAAAGCACAAGACCAGTCCGACCGGAAACTAAATAAATTTTAAACCGACCAATAACTGGTGATCCGGTCTAATACCAAAGCCCAGTTGATAAAAGTTTTAGTCATAGTTTTTGATTAATTATTAGGACTTCAATTTGAGTCAACATCAAATTTACAAATTGAAATTTTTTTAAAGATTTCTTTCCTTTTGAAGTTTGTTTCTAGTTTTATTTGTCCGTTTTATGGAAACCCATTTATCTCATTTTCTTTCTATCTATTATGAATTAAATGTTTACTATCTATATTTTTTCATGATAAACTACTTTCCGATCAAAGTATTTTGAAATATTCGTGATTATTTCTTCATGTTGCGTTTGAAAGAAAACCCAATTTTATTTTTTTCCTTTTACTTTTTTTATAAACTAAAATGATTTTTTTTTGTTCACAAAAACTAGAATAATCTAAGATGTAGTTTTTGTTGCTAGGTAAAGTGATAGTGAAAATCTTGAAGCATGTTTTGTTTTTGTTTACCCCTAAAACTTATGCATTTTTCTTTAATTTTATAAAGCACTTGAGTTAGTTTAATATTATATATAAAATAAAAAGAAGCCATAAAACTTTATGATCCACAAAATAAATTCATTGCCAAGTTCTCCAAAACAAAAAAAAAAACATGAAATTTAAGAGTTTGATAATTAAAAAAAAAAAAAAAAAAAAAACTGAATGACGAAAAGTCTAAATGACATAAACCATATTATTTTTGAGACACAACTTCTTCTTTTGTCACCACCACAACTACTCTTCCGTCACTTCCGCCCCTTCAGCTGCTTCCCCCGCCTCAACTTCCTCCGCCACCGCTTCCCCACCGCTGTTTCCACCGCCTCCCCCACCGCTTCTTTCACCGCCATAACCACTTCCTCCGGTCCTGCCATGACGTTCATACATCATGTTGTGGAAACGACGTTCTCTATCAACAGTACGTTCGTATCTCTCATGACGCTGCATCCTTCTGTCCAACGAAGTGTCACCCCAGTGGTGAATCCTCACGCTGCGATTGTCAGTGATTTGGTTCGGAGCATATGTATAAATAGGAGGCTGCAGAGTACTGTCACTCCCCACCATGGTTGACTGAACCAACAATAAATCATCAATATGTTAAGTACTCATGGAATAATATCAATTCCAAACCACACATAATATCAGAAAATTGGAAAACAATTTAGGTCTAAATCTGTTACCATTTGAAACATATAATCTCTTATGTCAAGATGAAAACGCGTATTATCGATATTCGGAAATGGAGGGTGTCGATCTACAGGCTTTGTGAACAACCATTGGCCTTTTTCGATCCGTCTACAACATGGACATTCCATCCTCTTCTTTGTATTGAAGTGTGAACCCAAACAATCTGTAGGAAACATGCAATAGTAAAAATTCTCCAAGCAAATCGAAAAGGGACATAAACCAACAGAAACAAATCAAATAAAAATGGATCTATTTTTCTCAAAGCAAAATTCCATTAAAAATATTATTTAGTGCTCACCCAAATGAAACCTATGGCTACATCGAAGGTTAACCACAGTTCGTTCATTAGCATCATTAGTCAATGGCTCTAAACAAACCACACAATCGTCAGCAGAAACGACTTGTTTGCCTTTGATATCACTCTCTAAACTCATGGCGATTGTCTAATCTTATTAAAAGAAAAAACAAATCTCAAAATCTTTGAAAGAACGAAAAGAAATTGGTGGCTGAAACTTGACAGTGGAAGAGGCCTATTTATATAGACAGGCAAGTAATGGTTGATGTAATCCCAATATTTTACTTTTTATTTTTATCTTATCAACACTTTTAATAGTTTAGGTAATTTCTTAAATATTTTTTTTATTCTAGTAAGATGGTTAAGACTTAAGACTTCTCCTTTGACTCTCTTCTATAAAACTTTACAATCTCATGTTTTCTATCCAATATTTTACAAAAACTAGCTAAATAATATGTTTTATAAATTTTCAGTGAATAAGTTGCCAATCATAGATACCTAACAAAATTCAATATTTAACGGTTTTTTAAAATTTTACGTGCCAATGTATCTAACGACTATTGCCCGTTTAGTTATTTTTAATAGTTATGTAAGAAACATCAACAAATAACAAATATTTGAAGTTATTTCGTGCCAGATATATCTAACGGCTATCTCACCAACTATTTATAACTAATTTTTTACGTTAGAAATAAATCACCAAATAATTAATATTTAAAGTATTTCGGGCTAATTATATATAACGGCTAACTATATCTTAAAAATAATTAAGATATCATATTTTAAATATTATATATAACAAAAAATATACAGAAAATTAAATTCATTATTGTATAAATTTTTATAAAGGAAAAAATGGAAAATTAAATCTAAGAAAGATATTTTTCTTTAATGGGAGTGTATGTTGACTCCCTTTATAGATGGTTTTTACTTTTGAGATTTCTTTCTATTAGAGTTAATTGAAGAAATAAAAGGAAAAAATACAAAATAAAATATATAGATAAACTTCAAAATAAAAGAAAAACACTGCAAAGTAAACCTCCATAAGTCCGAAAACCATCAATTTGACCGTGACGACGTTAACATTGTTATTAGTACTAACATAAATCAATACTCTTTGTGTGCGTTACGTAGAACCCATGACTTCTGGCCCAAAGTGTGTGGAACAGTAAGACAAATTATGCTTACTGAGTTGTTCACATAGTGACATAACATAATTATATACAATAACTTGGAATAAATAAATAACCACAAAAAAAAAATTGAATTTTTTTCTTTTTACAACTAGTGTCTAGTGATGGCAGTGGTGATGATGATGGTGAAGGTGGCCGCAACGGTTGTGGGTTGTGGCAGTAACGATGGTTGCGATAGTACTAATGATGGTACAGTAAACTTATTAGGACTTCAATTTGAGTCAACATCAAATTTACAAATTGAATTTTTTTTAAGAGATTTCTTTCCTTTTGAAGTTTGTTTCTAGTTTGATTTGTCAATTTTATGGAAACCCATTTATCTCATTTTCTTTCTATCTAATATTAATTAAATGTTTACTATCTTTTTTTTTTTTTTCATGATAAACTACTTTTCTATCAAAGTATTTTGAAATATTCGTGATTATTTCTTCACGTTGCGTTTGAAAGAAAACCCAATTTAATTTTTTTCCTTTTACTTTTTTATAAACTAGAATGATTTTTTTTAGTTCACAAAAACAAGAATGATTTAAGATGTAGTATTTGTTGCTAGCTAAAGTGAAAGTGAAAATCTTGAAGCATGTTTTGTATTTGTTTACCCCTAAAACTTAAGCATTTTTCTTTAATTTTATAAGCACTTGAGTTGGTTTAATATTATATTATATATAAAATAAAAAGAAGCCATAAAACTTTATGATCCACAAAATAACAAGTTCTCGAAAACAAAAAAAAAAACCGAATGAAGCAAAGTCTAAATGATCACATAAACCATATTATTTCCGAGCCGCAACTTCTCCTTTTGTCACCACCACATCTACTCTTCCGTCACTTCCGCCCCTTCTGCTTCTTCCCCCGCCTCAACTTCCTCCGCCACCGCTTCCCCACCGCTTCTTTCACTGCCATAACCACTTCCTCCGGTCCTGCCTTGAAGATGATTTATCATGTCGTGTAAACGACGTTCTCTACCAACAAAAAGGGCTACATGTTCGTCTATCTCATGACGCTGCATCCTTCTGTCCAACGAAGTGTCACCCCAATGGTGCGTCCTCACGTTGCGATTGTCAGTGATTTGGTTCGGAACATCTAGAGGTAACGTAGTAAAAATAGGAGGCTGCAGAGTACTGTCACTCCCCACCCTGGTTGCCTGAACCAACAATAAATCATCAATATGTTAAGTACTCATCGAATAATATCAATTCCAAACCACATATAATATCAGAAAATTGGAAAACAATTTAGGTCTAGATTTGTTACCATGTCGTCTATATTATTGCTTAAGTCAAGTTGAAAATGCATATCAAAGATATTCGGAAAGGGAGGGTCGACATCTACAGGTTTTGGTAACAACCATTGACCTTTTTCGATCCGTCTACAACATGGACATTCCATACTCTTCTTTGTATTGAAGTGTGAACCCAAACAATCTGTAGGAAACATGAAATAATAAGAATCTCCAAGCAAATCGAAAAGGGACATTGATCAACAGAAACAAATCAAATAAAAATGGATTCATTTTTCTCAAAATGAAGTTCCATTAAAAATATTACTTAGTGCTCACCCAAGTGAAATTTGTGGCTGCATCGAAGGTTAACCACAGTTCGTTCAGTAGCATCATTAGTCAATGGCTCTAAACAAACCACACAATCGTCAGCAGAAACGACTTGTTTGCCTTTGATATCACTCTCTAAACTCATGGCTACATCGAAGTTTAACCACAGTTCGTTCTTCAGCATCATTAGTCAATGGCTCTAAACAAACCACACAATTGTCTACATCAACTGGTTCAACGACTTGTTTGCCTTTGATATCACTCTCTAAACTCATGGCGATTGTCTAATCTTATTAAAAGAAAAAAAAAATCTCAAAACCTTTGAAAGAACGAAAAGAAATTGATGGCTGAAACTTGACAGTGGAAGAGCCCTATTTATATAGACAGGCAAGTAATGGTTGATGCAATCCCAATATTTTACTTTTTATTTATATCTTATCAACACTTTTAATAGTTTAAGTAATTTCTTAAATATATTTTTTCTTCTAGTAAGATGGTTAAGACTTAAGACTTCTCCTTTGACTCTCTCCTATAAAACTTTACAATCCCTTTATGTTTTCTATCCAATATTTTACAAAAACTAGCTAAATAATATGTTTTATAAATTTTCAGTGAATAAGTTGCCAATCATAGATACCTAACAAAATTCAATATTTAACGGCTTTTTAAAATTTTATGTGCCAATGTATCTAACGACTATTGCCCGTTTAGTTATTTTTAATAGTTATGTAAGAAACATCAACAAATAACAAATATTTGAAGTTATTTGGTGCCAGATATAATCTAACGGCTATCTCACCAACTATTTATAACTAATTTTCTACGTTAGAAATAAATCACCAAATAATTAATATTTAAAGTACTTCGGGCTAATCTATATATAACGGCTAATTATATCTTAAAAATAATTAAGATATAATATTTTAAATATTATATATAACAAAAAATATACAGAAAATTAAATTCATTATTGTAAAAAATTTTAGAAAGGAAAAATGGAAAATTAAATCTAAGAAGATATTTTTCTTTAATGGGATTGTATGTTGACTCTCTTTATAGATGGTTTTTACTTTCGAGATTTCTTTCTATTAGAGTTAATTGAAGAAATAAAAGGAAAAAATACAAAAAAATTATATAGATAAACTTCAAAATGAAAGAAAAAACATTGCAAAGTAAACCTCCATAAGTCCAAAAGCCATATAAAAAAAAACTTAATAAAAGGCTTTCCTCTTTTAGGCTTAGGTTCCTCTCTTTCGTTTAGAGTCTTTGGTTGTTGTTAGGATTAGATCTTTGACTGGAAAACTCTGCAAGGATAATCGTGGGGTTAGGTTATGATAGTGGTGGCCGAAACGGTTGTGGGTTGTGGCAGTAACGATGGTTGCGACAGTACTAATGATGGTACAGTAAACTTATTAGGACTTCAATTTGAGACAACATCAAATTTACAAATTGAATATTTTTTTAAAGATTTCTTTCTTTTTGAAGTTTGTTTTCTAGTTTGATTTGTCAATTTTATGGAAACCCATTTATCTCATTTTCTTTCTATCTAATATAAATTAAATGTTTACTATCTTTTATTTTTTTCATGATAAACTACTTTCCTATCAAAGTATTTTGAAATATTCGTGATTATTCTTCACGTTGCTTTTGAAAGAAAACCCAATTTTAATTTTTTCCTTTTACTTTTTTATAAACTAGAATGATTTTTTTTTGTTCACAAAAACTAGAATGATTTAAGATGTAGTTTTTTGTTGCTAGGTAAAGTGATAGTGAAAATCTTGAGGCATGTTTTGTATTTGTTTACCCCTAAAACTTAAGCATTTTCTTTAATTTTATAAGCACTTGAGTTAGTTTAATATTATATTATATATAAAATAAAAAGAAGCCATAAAACTTTATGATCCACAAAATAACAAGTTCTCCAAAACGAAATAAAAAAAAAACATGAAATTTAAGAGTTTGATAATAAAAAAGAAAAAAAAAACTGAATGAAGCAAAGTCTAAATGATCACATAAACCATATTATTTCCGAGCCACAACTTCTCCTTTTGTCACCACCACATCTACTCTTCCGTCACTTCCGCCCCTTCTGCTTCTTCCCCCGCCTCAACTTCCTCCGCCACCACTTCCCCACCGCTTCTTTCACCGCCATAACCACTTCCTCCGGTCCTGCCTTGAAGATGATTTATCATGTCGTGTAAACGACGTTCTCTACCAACAAAAAGGGCTACATGTTCGTCTATCTCATGACGCTGCATCCTTCTGTCCAACGAAGTGTCACCCCAATGATGCGTCCTCACGTTGCGATTGTCAGTGATTTGGTTCGGAACATCTAGAGGTAACGTAGTAAAAATAGGAGGCTGCAGAGTACTGCCACTCCCCACCCTGGTTGCCTGAACCAACAATAAATCATCAATATGTTAAGTACTCATCGAATAATATCAATTCCAAACCACATATAATATCAGAAAATTGGAAAACAATTTAGGTCTAGATTTGTTACCATGTCGTCTATATCATTGCTTAAGTCAAGTTGAAAATGCATATCAAAGATATTCGGAAAGGGAGGGTCGACATCTACAGGTTTTGGTAACAACCATTGACCTTTTTCGATCCGTCTACAACATGGACATTCCATACTCTTCTTTGTATTGAAGTGTGAACCCAAACAATCTGTAGGAAACATGTAATAATAAGAATCTCCAAGCGAATCGAAAAGGGACATACATCAACATAAAACAAATCAAATAAAAATGGATCTATTTTTCTCAAAACGAAGTTCCATTAAAAATATTATTTGATGCTCACCTAAGTGAAATTTGTGGCTGCATCGAAGGTTAACCACAGTTCGTTCAGTAGCATCATTAGTCAATGGCTCTAAACAAACCACACAATCGTCAGCAGAAACGACTTGTTTGCCTTTGATATCACTCTCTAAACTCATGGCGATTGTCTAATCTTGTTAAAAGAAAAAAAAATCTCAAAATCTTTGAAAGAACGAAAAGAAATTGGTGGCTGAAACTTGACAGTGGAAGAGCCCTATTTATATAGACAGGCAAGTAATGATTGATGCAATCCCAATATTTTACTTTTTATTTTTATCTTATCAACACTTTTAATAATTTATGTAATTTCTTAAATATTTTTTTTATTCTAGTAAGATGGTTAAGACTTAAGACTTCTCCTTTGACTCTCTCCAATAAAACTTTACAATCTCCTTATGTTTTCTATCCAATATTTTACAAAAACTAGCTAAATAATATGTTTTATAAATTTTCAGTGAATAAGTTGCCAATCATAGATACCTAACAAAATTCAATATTTAACGGTTTTTAAAAATTTTACGTGCCAATGTATCTAACGACTATTGCCCGTTTAGTTATTTTTAATAGTTATGTAAGAAACATCAACAAATAACAAATATTTGAAGTTATTTCGTGCCAGATATATCTAACGGCTATCTCATCAACTATTTATAACTAATTTTCTACGTTAGAAATAAATCACCAAATAATTAATATTTAAAGTATTTCGAGCTAATTATATATAACGGCTAACTATATCTTTAAAATAAATAAGATTTTTTTTGTCAACAAATAATTAAGATATCATATTTTAAATATTATATATAACAAATAATATACAGAAAATTAAATTCATTGTTGTATAAATTTTTAGAAAGGAAAAATGGAAAATTAATTCTGAGAAAGATATTTTTCTTTGTTGGGAGTGTATGTTGACTCCCTTTATAGATGGTTTTTACTTTCGATATTTCTTTCTATTAGATTTAATTGAAGATATAAAAGGCAAAAATACAAAAAAAAAATTATATAGATAAACTTCAAATTAAAATAAAAAATATTGCAAAGTAAACCTCCATAATTCCGAAAACCATCAATTTGACCGTGACGTTAACATTGTTTCTAAAACGAACATAAATCAAAATTCTGTGTGGGCGTTAAATGTCGAACCCAAGACTTCTGGCCCGAATTGCGTGGAACAGCAAGACAAATTATTCTACATAGTGACAGAACATAATATACAATAACTTGGAATAAATAAATAACCAAAAAAAAATTGAATTTTTTTCTTTTTACAACTAGTGTCTAGTGACGGCAGTGATGATGGTGAAGATGGCGGTGGCGGTGGCGGTGGCGGGGTAAGGATAACTTTTTACAACTTGAATGAACTCTACGAAACTATTGTAAATTTAGTTGCTTCGTTCTCAAGTAATGATCTGTAGACGGACAACATCTATACAAATGACTCTATTCGAGATACAAACAGACCAAAAATATTCATTTTTAATATTATAACTAAACATGGACATTCATTTTGTGACATACAATCAATATATATGATATCTTACATGTTGCAATCTTGTTAAGAAAGAAAGCTACAATCTTTATAACAATCAAGAATGCTATAAGATATCACTCTATTAACCAGGGGGTTTTGGACCGATTAACGACGAGAATGGTTACATCGTGAACCATTGAGAATTCGTCGGTTATACCCCGGACCTTGGTCTGTCGGTAAATTGAAACGTTGAGAATCCATGGAATGAGGAACCGGGAAATCACTATAGTTGTGGGAATTCGTCGGATGTAACTCATCCCGTTAGTAAAATCCGGTTCGCTTGGTTTTGAAACTCCATCATCTAGGAATGTAGACAGATCAACTAGCCACGGTCAACATGAATCTGTTTATGTCAAAACAGCATATTTCTGGTATAAGTACTGATAGAAAGTATTTATGTTTTACCACACAACTCATGTTGAAATTCGGATGTAGAACCTATTAACCTACATATTAAAATAGTTGGCGTATTTAATTTTGTAAAAGTTTTTTTTTCTTAGTACGATGTCTGGATATTTTCTAGATTAGTAAATACTATATATATAATTTGATTTGCTAAATTAATGTAGTGAAAGATGTTTATAGTTCTATAAAAAGCTGCATATAGCAATCCACTTGTCTTATATTCGCTCAATTTGGATCACTAAGTAAGCATGTTTTGTGTATGTTTATTAATGTTTTATTGTTATTTACACCTAAAACTTAAGCATGTTTTTCTTTAATTTTATAAGGACTTGGATTAGTTTAATATTATATATAAAATAAAAAGAAGTCATAAAACTATAATGCACAAAAGAAACTCAATGCCAAGTTCTCCAAAACAAAAAAAAAGGTGAAAAAAACATGAAATTTAAGAGTTTGATAACATAAACCAAGAAATTTAATAGTTTGATAACATAAACCAAGAAATATAAGAGTTTGATAACATAACATGAAAAAAAAAAAAAAAAAAGCAAAGTCTAAATGATCACATAAACCATATTATTTTCGAGCCACAACATCTGCTTTTGTCAACGGACTCACCACCATTTTCCGTTGCTACTCTTCCGTCATTTCCGCCCCTTCTGCTGCTTCCCCCGCCTCCGCCACCGCTTCCCCACCGCTGTTTTCACCGCCTCCCCCACCACTTCTTTCACAGCCATAAAGTTCACACAGCATGTCGTGTAAACGACGTTCGCTATCAACAATAATGGCTACATGTTCGTCTATCTGACGCTGCATCCTTGCGTCCAAAGTAGTGTTACACGACTCACGCCATCGGTTAATCCTCGTGTTGCCATTTTCAGTGATTTGGTACGGAACATTTGGAATTAACATACCTGTATTGGTTAAGATTCTATCCATATCACTATGAAAAAAATAAGGCACACCGTCACTCTCCACCCTGGTTGGCTGAACCAATAATAAATCATCAATATGTTAAGTATTCATCGAATAATATCAATTCCAAACAAAATATAATATCAGACAATTGGAAAAAAATTTAGGTCTAGATCTGTTACCATGTCAAGTAATATATCATCATCTCTTTCTAGTTGATCACGCAAAACATCGATATCCGGATATGGAGGGTCTAGATCTACAGGTTTTGCGAACAATCATTTTCCCTTTTCAATCTGTCTACAACATGGACATTCCATTTTGTTCTTTATATTGAAGAATGAACCAACACAATCTGTAGGAAACCAAACCTATTAGCGAATGATTTTTTATAATTAAAAATATTCATAATGAAAAATACACCTACAATAACTTTCTCAGCCAACAATCTCCTTACTAATTTGCTAAATAATAGCATATATATTGTGGCAATTTTGGTCGACATAAATATATATATAGCTAGACAACCAAGAATGTCTCAGGGAGTGATGTAATAATCTGAAGACCCAATATTGTAATGCAGGTTCGAGTTAATGGATACATCAAACAAGGTGGAGATCGAGAGAGAGACAAAAACAAATTATTTCCATCAAAGAATAAACAAAGATAATAGATTCACAACAAAACTCTACAAAACAAAACAAATAATAAGAATCTCCAAACAAATCGAAAAAAGACATTAATCAACAGAAACAAATAAAAAAATGGATCTATTTGGTGCTCACCTAAGTGAAACCTGTGGCTACATTGAAGGTTAACCACGGTTCGTTTAGCATCATTAGCCAATGGCTCTAAACAAACCGCACAATCTTCATCATCAACTGGTTCAACGACTCGTTTGCTTTCTTTGATATCACTCTCTAAATTCATAGCTATTGTCTAATCTTATTAAACGAAAAAACAAATCTCAAAATCTCTGAAAGAATGGAAAGAAATCGCTGACTGAAACCTGACAATGGAAGAGCCCAATTTATATAGACGGGCAAGTACTGGTTGATGCACTCCCAAGATTTTACTCTTTTATTTTTATCTTATCCACACTTTTTAACCACCTCTAAATAAAATTTCTCATCGTTCACGTAATTTCTTAAATATTGTTTTATTTTCTAGTAAGATAGTTATGAGACTTCTCCTTTGAAAACTTTACAATCTCCTTATGTTTTCTATCCAATATTTTACATAGACTAGCTAAACTATAATTTAGTTTTGAAGTTGAAAAAATTAACTAATTATTGGAATCATACAAAATATTTTTTGTTAAATATAGAATGCGTTTTTTATTATTATACAACACCATAGATGATTCAATAGAATAATTCTTTTAAAATAAATAAAAATATTTTTTTGGATATTTTTGTTGGTCAATGCCGGTCAATACCGGTCAACGATGGTCAACGCCGGATTTTGATGATTGGTGTACCAGAATAAAATGTTCGTGATGTTGACCACATGTTTTCATATAGTTGGTATATGTGGGCATGCAATATATTTAGCTCGTGTAGTTGGTTGTACATTTCTAAACTTGGCATGTGTAGGCATGTATTCCGTTATACTTCGTGTAGCTCAGTATATTTTCCAAATAACTAAATAAACAAAAAAAAAAAAACTTGAAACAAAAATTACAATGGTCACAATGATAGTGATAACTGATAATACGATCGACTGTATCGATGATGGCAGCGGCGGTGGTGACTGGTGACAATGGATGCAGTTGTAGCGAAAGTGGTGATGGCGGTGGCGGAGCTAGAAAATTATTTTATAGGAGTCAATATATTAATTTAGCTGGAGTTAATATAGAGCTTCTAACAAAAATACACCAAATTTTCAATTTTCATGGGTGTCATATGACCCCATAGAACTATCTCCGCCCATGGGTGATGTTGACAATAATGGTGGTGGCGGGCCGGGGTAACGACAATCATGGTGGTTGTTGCGGTGATGAGTGTAGTGGCGGCAACGGTTGTGGTAGTGGTGATGATGGTGATCACGGCGGGGATAGTGAAGGTGACTGAGACAAATCACTCTTACTTTTGACTGATCTATCCTGAAAGTGTCAAGAACATGATCTAATATGCAATCAATCACTCTTACTTTTTAATTAAGAAAGAGATAGATCATATCATTTAACATAATGCATGGTAAAGATTCAACTAACATAATCATGTTTTACAAGTAACGACCTAGGCTTAAATGGCTTTTATACGTTTTTAATTAATTCATAATTTGATTATATCATTTAACATATACATAATCATTCAATGTACTTATACTTATGGCCCAATTATCAATCATGGATAGTAAAGTCTTGAATGAACTATACGAAACTATCGTATATCTAGTTGTTTCGTTGCCAAGTAATGATCTTTATACGGACAACACAACATCAATATACAAATGATTCTATTCGAGATACAATCATACCAATACTATTCATTCTTAAAATAACTAGCAGTGATAGAACTCCATGTTTCTATATATCATTCATTTTGTCATCATACAAACAATATGATTTCTTAAATATTACAATCCTATTAAGACAGAAAGCTCTAATATTTCCAAACAATCAAGATTGATATACTACAAGAAAACATAGAATTAACTCACGGATTTTCCGATAGACCAAGATCAGCCATTAGTTTTGGACAAATTTTGACAGCTTCCCGCATATTTTGTCTGTTAGTAAAATTCATCGGAAATTTGTCAGTTATTTCTTTAATTACCAACAGCCCATACTATATCGTCTGTACTCATATCGGGCCTGACTGGATCATCAACTATATAATTTGGTCGTTATATCCTTATTCCTTATATTCTTCCTCCAATTGTAAATGTAGAATTTAGACTTCAGTCTTTACTTCAATAACTCATTGGTCATGTTTAAGTTTCAGAAACGCCGGCTCCTTCCCCACATGTTTCTTTCATTACAGAACATGTTGTTATACCTGCTTAATCATTGTTTGATATTGTTTCATTGCCTTCTACTTCTCTCATGAGAATTAAGAATAATAAACATCGCTTTCTCTTATTACTTTGTACAACTCTTCTATGTGGTACATTTTTTATGTCTAAGTCTAGTTTGTTAACTTATTTTATTGTCTTATATGTCCTCTAACAAAAAAGAAAATATTGTCTTTTGAGTCTCATAATCATGTCTTCACCACCATTTCATTTTGTTCACTTAGATATTTGGTGGTCACGTCAATCCTTGTTTTGGTGTATACCATGGAGGGAGATTCCTATACATCTACTCTTCAAAATCCTCATTTCGAAAATCGTTTGAAATATCCAATTGACTCTAACTCTATTTTTTGGCAGAGGCAACAACTAGAAGAGTTTTAACTGTTAAGTTATATTTTATGAACATTTTGTATGTTTTTTAATTTGTTTTATGGAGTCTTTTAGTCGAAAACATGTAATTTTCAATGTTTTTTTAGTGTTTTCAGGATTCTAGACATGCGTATGGAAATGGTTTTTTTTTAGAGGAAGAAATGGGTCAAAACACGTTAAGTGAAGAAATGATTCAATAAGTGGACTGACCGGTTAAGAAGTCCAACCGGTCGGTAGAGAACACTCCGCCCACCGATCAGTTGGAACACATAACTAATCGGTTGGAATTTTGGAAAATTTCTATTTTACTTATTTTATGGATGCGTCCCATTACCTATAAATACTCAAACCTTATGTAGCCGCAAGTCATATTTTTTTGTGCGATTTTTATATTTTTAAAGATGTTCTTCTTTTCTTCTTCTTTGTTAAATTGTTTTAAGATTGCAAAAACTCTTTGGTAGTTCCTTCTTAACTCTCGATCATTTGTCTACAATGATCACATCTACTTAGGTCATGTGTAAGTAGTTTCATCAAGGAGTTTAGGGATTTCAAAGAAGATTTCGAAATAAACATCCTCGATGTGTATTTTCTCAGTTGTGATTTATATTGTTGTTCTCTTATCTTTAATTGTTTTTAAAGCCCTATATGAATTAGGCCAATTCACCTATTGTCCATGATCTAATTCCTCAAGCCATCAAAAGTGATGTTGAATTGATGGATCTATTAAAGATGGGCTGCCTGTAGCAACCAACCTGTAATATATGTGTTCAACTAGGATCATCATGTACTTCCGACATCTACCCAATTCACCCTGTATTTTTCTTGTTCTTCCTAATTTCACCTAAAGTACAAAATTCTATTCAATTAACCAAATTCAATTAATCTCTGAAATCGCGATTTAAAATCAATAATTCGCATTCACGATTTCTCGATTATGAGTACACCCGAGTTTAAAATTTTCTCAATAACATGTCAACAACACATTGAAAAGCTTAGCCGAGTCAAGATTTTAAACTTGTATATACTCAAATTGCGAAATAATGAACGCGTATTATTGACTTTAAATTGCAATTTCAGAGATTTATTGAATTTGGTTAATTGGATAGAATTTTATAGATTGGGTGGAATTAGGAAGAAATAGAAGAGTATAGGGTGAATTGGGTAGAGGTCGAAAATAGAGGGTGATTCTAGTTTAACGCATATATTACAGGTAGATTGCTACAGGCAGCCCATTAAAGATAGGAAAAACTCCTTACCTAGCTTCTCATAAGTTGTTATTGTTTTTTGTGAATTCATCTTATTCTTTTCTTAATGCTTGATTGGATTACTTAAAATAAGCTTAGCCAAGGTTTATGGATATACGTAGTCCCTTCATAAAATTATCACTAAAACGCCATTAGGGTAATTTATAAAAAAAATCTTATTTCAAGAACTTTTATAATCGTAACAGACAATACGTGGTTTTATATATTCTCTTATGATTTCTCCTATTCTCTGTTTCTGATATTATATATTTATTATTCATTTATTTATTTTACTTATTTTTATTTCTCCAATTTCACACGAGTTCCTCTAACTTTCTGTTGTTCTAGCTTAGTTTAAGTCTATATAGCCTAATGTATGTTTCTTTGGTATCTGTGGATTCAATCCTTATTGTGTTTGCCTTTACACTTGCGGGCAATTATTAAGGATAAAAATTTTATTGATAGATTTTACTCTTGTAACATTAACCGTTGTCATTTTAGCAACTAGAAAGAAATTATTAACAAAGTCAACTCTTGATGAGTGTATCCTTTTACAACTAGCCTAACTTTTGATACTTTTTCTGTTAAATCGAAGAAATTTCAAACCGAAACCGACAAAAATCCATGTTTTTAATACGAAAAACGTCTACCCAAAAAATTCAGGTCTCTAACTATAGTTATGTAGTTTAGCAAAAAAAACTACATATTTGATAAATTGGTGAGAGTAAAGAACACAAAAATGTTGTGGAAGAATTATATTAGACTCTCATACAAATAATGTTACAACTTACATCAATATATATAGAGATACTGACTTAACCTAATTTTCTAAACTAAGATAAACTTAAATGTATACTTTTCTAGATAAAAGTAAATATCCTAAATTAAGATATCAAGATATCTCTAACATTTCCATATTGAATCTTGATCTCGGTTTGTAATCTTGGTTGATCTCGATTCGGATTGGGTCGATCTCATCGATCTCCCAATAAGATTATGTATAGATTTCGTGAACTACGAAAAAAATAGATATTGTGATATATATATATATATATATAACTCACAATTGTACAAACATAAATACAATTGTATGTGTTGCTCAAAAAAAAAAAAAAAAAAAATACAATTGCTATGTTTTAAGATATTTGAACTCTGGAATAAAACATTTGATATTATATCACAATTGTTATGTTAATCGAAGAAATTTCAAGCTTAAACTCACAAAAATCCATTTTTTTAACTTCTAAAAATGTCTATGTGTGACTAGAGAATATTAAAATTGCGCAATGAAAAAACTCAAAATGATATCACAACGAAGGAACGAACCCTTCGACCATTGGTCACTTCCAATTGATTAACTGAGGATATATTTTACC